AGGGAAAAAAAAAAAGGAAGAGGAAAAGGAAGAAAAAAATAAAAAAAATATATATACATGTATTGTCAAATGACCGGATATATTGTAGCGTCTTGTCGAACGTAATTTCAATGAAGAGATGAATTGAATAAACATATATATTTTTTCTTTTCTCAATAATTTTGTAGTTTTTAAACTTAATAGTGATTAAATTTGGATTTTAAAATTGCCAGTTTTTAATTTTAATATTAAATTTTATCATATAATTTTACAATTATTGGTTAGTATAAATTATTTTTAATATTACACGTATTTTAAAGATCTGAATAGCTATTATAACATGATTTCATTGTCAAGCTTTTGAATCTTTCTATACTTGGTTTTTGATTGGTTATTCTAACTTTTGTAACAATGTTTATAAAAATATATATTTAGCTGTCAATAAATAACATAATTTAAAAAAAAACAATCTTTCAGTCTACACTTATTACGTCTTAGTGTTTGTCTATACATGCAAAAATTGCGCCCTGAAAATGACAACTTGAAATTGTCGAAAGTACTTGGCATATGACTTCCATCTGACAACAACTCGAATATAAGGATCTTATTATTCAAAGAATTGATAGTAAGTTAATATCTCATTAATTCCTGTTAGCGAAGTGATTTCGCCATTAATCACATTAACATTGATATTTATTTCTTTGTATAAATTGTTTCTTTCCGATATAAAATATAAGCTACACACTCTTATAGAGAAGATAGGCAAAGTGGGCGAGGGACCCTAGCATCCTTATCGGGATGGCATCCAATCAAAGAGTGAACTAAAACTTCAATTTATATTTAATTTGAATAAAGGGATTATTTCATGTTTCACCTGTTTTTACATATTTAAAATGTCTGTCTTCCTTACGTTTAGTAGGCACTATGTCACCCAACAGTAACTCAGTTTTAAAGTCAGCAAATGAAAGAGTTGGCCCCTGGCATCATCAAAACTCTGCAAGTCACTATATATATATATATATATACATACATACATATATATATATATATATATATATATATATATATATATATATATATATATATATATATATATATATATATTAGGTTAGGTTGCAAAAATAATGACGTAATAATGTCATTTTTTGACGTATTTTTAACGTCAAAAACGATATTATGACGTCGTTATTTTTGTACCAACCTAATATATATATATTAGACTAGAATATTAGCTTGACTAAAAAATCAAACCAAAAAATCGGACGAAAAAAATAGCTATAACTGTTATATAACGATAAAAAATAAGTAAATAAATAAAATAAAATAAAATAAAACAAATAAATAAATACTACGTTACTTAAAGATCGAAAACCGAAGCAAGAAAATATAGAAGGAAAATAACTTGACCTAAATTCATCCAAGTAAATAAATAAACTAACCAATCCCGATAAAGTTACCGTTAGAAAAAACAAATAAAGATAATCAACCCAAATAAACAAAAAATTAAAAACTGTTTCTGCCAAAATAATAGTTAGAATAAAACTACAACAACCAACCCCAAAACCGAACAAATAGCTTTAATTAAATTCTCAAACCAAAAAAACAAAACAAAAAAAAAGCTACTAAATAAGTGATATAAACAAATTTTTTAAATAAACGACTTCCGGTAAAATAACCGCCATAATAGACTACCCACAATGCACCACTGACTCGTATATGTATAAATAGCCGAGAAAAATAACAGCACACGTGGCCTGACGATTGCATATAGCATGAAACAGACTGTCGCCTCTAAGTGTTGACTTCTATGTTCACTTTTATATTTACACACGCTCTATCTCTGATATTGAGCACTTTATCCCATAAATATAGCACACCTTAAGACTATATATATATATATATATATATATATATATATATATATATATATATATATATATATATCAAAAGAAAAACTTAATACATCGTTGAAGTGTTCGGCAATAAATGTATTTCAGACAGATAACTGCCTTACCGAAATATTCGATAATGTGTTGTTTTTTTCCTTTGATGTATATCATATTGCTCTGTATATTAATACATTGAACTCTCTTCATTGATGTATCTTTTAATATTTTCTATTAAAAGATCTACTTAGATTAACCTTTCCATTTACGGATTTAATATTATGATCTGTATATATATATATATATATATATATATATATATATATATATATATATATATATTATGAGTTATTCAATTCCGCCAAATTCCTGTTCAGTTATATATCTATATATATAGATTACAGCTGATGAATATGACATCAGTCAGCTAATTGACGTATTTTATTTGTATTAATTCTCTCTCTCTCTTTCTCTCTCTCTCACTATATATATATATATATATATATATATATATATATATATATATATATATATATGTATATACCCACACACACAAACATACGCATATATATATGTCTGATTGAATTATGTAAAACTCTCTCTCTCTCTCTCTGTCTGCTTGTCTGTCTCTCTCTCTCTCTGTGTATCGTCAAAAAAAAACAAAAAACGAAAAACACACAAAAAAAAAACAAAAAAAAACAAGAATGAAATAATAACTAAGGTTTAAAATTAATTTTTAAAAATCAAATATCTTTTCTAACTTTTTCATTTTAGTTTTAATGTCAAAATATTGTCTTTTTAAACAGACAGTAGATGTTTGGACATATTGACAGACTGGTGACAGGTCTAATACTGTTCTACGGAGACTTTATCGGTAAAAAATGATTTCAGAAAAAACCTGCAACGGGTTTCTTAAAGTAAAAGAGGAGGAAATGACTTTAGAATAGGTACCACCAATAAAAACGCGTCACGTTTTAAGTACCTCAACAGATTCGAATACCTAAGATCTAAAATGAATTTCTACAAATAATAATCTTTATCAAAGAATTTATTTTAGCATTAATTTCAAGCTAATAGTTTCGATTTAATAATTCCAATAAGCAGAATACTTTTCTGTATTTCAAAACCCAATTTAAATTGACTGGAAGGAGTTTTCGTTTTGAATTTGTTGACATTTTTAAATTTATTTTACCGATATGTAATCGTAATGTAAAAAAAAATCTTCTAAAAAATAAAGTATACTTTTTTTAATTTAAGGAATATTAGTTTATCTAAGGTTTAAATTAATTTGAAACAAATATTATTTACTTTAATTTTAAAATATCTAAGGAAACCATTCCCGGCGGAGGTTGTTTATTTAAGCTGTTGACATTTTAACAGATGGATGACAGATATATATATATATATATATTTATCTAATGTTATTCTACTGCAGATTTATCTGTGAAACATAACTGACATATATAATTTTTAAATACTGAATAAAAACATATGAAACCCAAATACATAATTAAAACCCTCCACATTAATTTGATTATCACCATCTTTTTTTTTTTTTCTTTGGTTTCGTCTGGATAAACAGAACTCTATTTATTAACAAAAAGCTGGTTGGAAGAGATGGATGTCAAAGTCCACGAAATAAATTATAACCAGAATATTTTTAAGGATTCTATTTTCATCATGTATATATATATATATATATATATATATATATATATATATATATATATATATATATCGATTATAGGTGCAGTTCAATTTATAATTAGATGAATTATTCATACAAAAAACAAATATAGAGGTTAATGATTTAAATGGCGAGAATACATCTTCGTAAACAATTTCAATAAAGCACACTAACCCCGAACCTGTATATTGTATTTTTCGGATTACATCTCTATTTTCGTTGTCCTTTTATTACCGAGAAGTAAAAAAAAACAAGAACAAATCTATTTCCATACCTGAAGATGTCTGTAGGAACATACGAAAGCGTGTAAAAACTAAAAAAGACCTTATGAAACTGGAATTTATAAACAGGGATCATATTATTCATATACAGGTTCGGGGTTAGTGTACCTTATTGAAATTGTTTGCGAAGATGTATTCTCACCATTTAAATCATTAACCTCTATATTTGTTTTTTGTATGAATGATTCATGTAATTATATATATATATATATATATGTATATATATATATATATATATTTGTGTGTGTGTGTGTGTGTCAACGGCTGTTGTGATGCGTCTAGTATGGTAGTCAGTAGTGGTAGTGGTTGTCGCTTCTCGCTTTCAGTTACCGCCGCTGCCTAGCAAAAAGGCGAAAAGGGGAGCCGAGTGCGTCTTTCCCTGCCAGTATATAGCCTCTCCCTATGCAGTGCCTCCTTGTAGCGACACATGTTAACCAAGCACCTTGTGGACTCGTGCTAAATTACAGTGGACGGGGGAAGAGTTTGACCCCCTTAACATGCAGCATGCAGGCCCACCGGTGTGTGGATATGCCCTGATGCCCATGAGCAAAACCCCAGCTATGGGTTAAATAGCTCCACTGCCTTGTGGATATCTTCGGGAAAAGGAAAGGCCAAGGAGTAAACCCTACACAAACCCGGGGTAGAGGCCTTAAGGCGTATGGACGGCACTTTGTGCTACCTTCCGGTAACTCCAGGCAGACGCGCTGGTACCAAACTGTTTTGGCTTATCCTCTCCTTTGGACTCTACTAGCAAGGTCGAGATGGGGAACTAGACGTCCTGGCAGCCCTAGTTCTCCATACATCCCGCCCAAACTCGTAACGCACTGGGGAGGACACTCCAGCCACGTCGCAAGACATCGGCACAACACAGGAAGTGACAGTTAACGGTCAAAAGCCGAACTCGATTGACGTAGGCTACGCGCGCCTGGGGTCACCTCCGTCGTTGGGAGAGATCATCACGTCTCACTGGACAGCTACCTCCCGCCTCAAGCTAGGCAGCCTCCAGCCAGTAAGGTGCTGTCCCGCCACAGCTTACCTGCTCTACTGGGTGTGTAGGGCTCAGGGACTGATCCTCCTGACAAGCAAGCTGTAAATCCCGCACCAAGCAGAAAGGAAAGAAACATGAAGACTCCAACTCTTCGATTTGGTAGCTGGAACGTCCTGACTATGCACCCTGGACTCGCAGATGACATCCAACAGATCGACGATGCTCGAAAGACCGCAGTCATAGACAGGGAACTCTCAAGGCTGGGCATTGACATTGCCTGCCTGCAAGAGACTTGTCTGGCTGACAGCGGTTCCATCAGAGAGGCCAACTACACCTTCTTCTAGCAGGGCCGGCCTCAGGATGATCCAAGGCAACACGGCGTAGGCTTTGCCGTGAAGAACTCGCTGATACCAGCCATTGTACCGCCAACTGGCGGATCTGAAAGAATCCTAGCGCTGCGCCTCTTAACATCTACGGGTTTCGCCAACGTCCTCTGCATCTACGCGCCAATGCTCTGCGCCACTCCAGAGGTCAGGGACCAGTTTTATGAGGCAGTGGATGAGACGATATCCAGGAAACCAAATACTGAAGGATTATACCTATTGGGAGACTTCAATGCCAGAGTAGGAGATGACTGTGACATTTGGCACTCTTTCCTCGGCCGTCAGGGCATAGGTAAGAGGAATGAGAATGGTCAGTGGCTGCTGGAACTGTGCTGCCACCACGGACTATGTGTGACGAACACTTACTACAAGTGCATAGAACACCACAAAGTCTCTTGGAGACGCCCCCGTTCTCGACACTGGCACCAGCTTGACCTTGTCATCACCAGGCGTGCAGACCTAAGGAGCTTTCTTCACACTTGGAGCTTCCACAGAGCAGACTGCGACACGGACCACTCCCTGGTAAGCTGCAAAGAGACTGACAGCCAAGAAAATATACCGCTTCAAAACCAAGGGCCTTCCTCGCATCAACACTTGTCGCTCCAAAACCCTGAGAGCTCTCGCCGCTTCTAAACCACCTTTAGCACGAAGGTCGACACATCCTCCTTCAGTGCCACTGACATCGACAGTATATAGCACCACCTCTGTGATGCCATATACACCTCAGCCCTTACATCCGTTCGGAAAGAAGGATCGTCGAAATGCGGACTGGTACAAAACTCACTGGGATGAGATGCAGCCGGCCTCTGAAGCCAAGAGACAAGCACTTCTGGCCTACAAGCATAATCCTTGCGTCAATACCCGTGATGCCGTCAGAGCTGCTCGCAGCAAGGCCCAACAGACTGCATGCCACTGCGCCAACGACTACTGGCTGAACCTGTGGAGCAAATCTAGACGGCTGCCGACAGTGGAGGCGCAAGAGGCATGTATGCCGCATTAAAGCCGCCATCGGCCCCACTCCCATCAAAACGGCTCCGCTGAAGTCCAAGGCAGGAGAGGTCATTACAGACTGGGGCAAGCAGCTGGAGCGATCGTTGGAGCACTACCTGTAGCTGTATGCAACCCAGAACGTGGTGACGGATGCCGCCCTGGGTGCCTTGCCCAGTCTCCCAGTCATGGAGGAGTTGGATGCCCCGCTCTCTGCAGAGGAACTCGGAAAAACCATCGACTGTCTCTCCTGTGGGAGAGCCCTGGGAGGGACGGGATCCCATCAGAGGTTCTGAAGCGTGGCAAGCGAGCTCCGCTACAGCATCTCCACGATCTTCTGTATCTGTGCTGGGAGAAGGGCCAAGTCCCCCTAGGCATGAGAAATGCCAACATTGTCACGCTCTATAAGAATAAAGGTGACCGCAGTGACTGCAATAACTACCGCGACATTTCCCTCCTCAGCATCGTCGGGAAAGTCTTTGCCCGCGTCGTCTTGCCACACCTGCAAAGCCTCGCCTCCCGTGTGTACCCCGAGTCGCAGTGTGGCTTCAGAGCGGGCCGGTCTACGGTGGACATGATCTTCTCGCTGCGCCATCTGCAGGAGAAGTGCCGTGAGCAGCAGAAACCACAGTATATCGTTTTCATTGATCTGACGAAAGCCTTCGACTTGGTCAGCAGAAGCGGACTCTTCAGCCTCCGGGAGAAGATAGTAGGATGTCTCCCAAGACTGCTCCAGATGGTTAGGTCCTTCCACGAGGACATGCACAACACAGTCTGCTACAACGGCGAAGCATCCGACGCCTTCCCTGAGAGTAGCGGCCTCAAAAAAACCAACATCCTGGCACAAGACACCGCCTCCACCGCGGACTTTGCCATCAACGGCACGCACCTCGAGGTAGTGGACTCCTTCAGCTACCTCGGATCGACCATCTCCAGCTCCCTCTCCCTGGACACCGAGATCAGCTCCAGGATAGGAAAAACCGCCGCAGTCATGGAACAGTCAAACTAAACAAGCGCGTCTGGCGAAGAACACCAAACTACAAGGCTACCGTCAATTACAACAAATTAAGCAATATACGGAGAAGGCAGTGATGATAGTCTGTGAATGTTTACATAGATGATTTCTAAGCAACGATAAACACGTGCATATAAGACGCTAGAAGCGAAAATCGCACCGCATCTCATGACGTCACACATGACTACACGAGAGTGAATTGTAGAATGAATTGTAATTGACATCTTTAATAATGGCTTATGTAAGACGAAAGATTAGATTATATGAAAAAAATATGGATCAATATTGTGAATT